GTACAGTAGTTCTCTTTTAATAAATTTAATAGCTTAGAGAGGAAAAGAGGGTGGTCTAAGTAGCATTAAATTATGACTGTTGTAATATTATTTTTTTATTCTTCATTCCAAAATAATAATCGAAAGATATGATGATCTCATATAAACAGCAAAGAGTTAACAGTTAGAGTTTGAAATAAGATTAAAAATTTCATCTAACTATACAATTTCATGGTCATAAAGTGTGGAAATATAGATCATTACACCGTAGAGAATATACTGTATGGTGTAATGATCTCTATTTCTACACTGCGTGATATCAAGAGGCTGAATAAGAAAGTTTGGTCTATTAGAAAGAGACATGCATGATAATTTTAAGCCATTATTTCTATGTTGGTTTTTAATGCCTTTTATTTCAAGATTTTAACAGAAAATTCATCATATGTACTTTGTGAACAAACTTTTAGTGGTTTTATATACGGTCCAACTTACATACGAGTGCAGTACTTCCTTTTCAGTTATCTGATGTTACTGTCAGTTAGAATAATGAATGCAAATTGAGAATCCTCTATCCAAAACCCTCGAGGCCGAATGTATCGCGGATTCCATAATTAATTTTTATTTGTTTATTTTATATATTTTTTTATTTTTTTATTTTATTTTTTTTTCATATTAGGCCTGGACCCCTTTGGGTGAGTGGCAGGTCACTCAGAGGGGTCCAGACCAAAGTCTAGCTATCAAATGCATTTTTACTTTTTAAAGCATGTTAACTGCATATTGAGACATACAGCTTACAACAAAATGCTTAACCTAGTAAAATTAAATCATAGCCAATATACACTATGCAGTGCACCCTATACCAGGATATCAATGATAAAAATCTGTGCAACTCATTTATAACAGCAGTTACAGTAGCACACCAGTTGTTTACAAATACAGAATGACAGGATACTCTGTTTAATTAGATGTTAAATATGTCTAATGTTTCATTTCTTAGAAAAGCATTTAATAAGTTCTTAAAAGATTAATAAATAAATGTCAAAAGACAGTCAATCAGCTGATGGAAATGCACCAGTAGTTATCCTTGTTCTCACTAAATGCCAGGATGGGTGTGCACATCGTCTATAAAGCCTCAAAGGCCAGCAGGCCCAGCACTACGTCATGACTGAAACAACATGAGTTACCTTGCGTCTGAACAACTGTAGTTCAGGAAGCAGTTGTTCAGACTCAAAAAGAGTTAAAATTTGTTAAAGATTGTTTTGTAATGATGAAATTAGTGTTAAAGTGAGAAAATATATTGTGTTAAGAATTGTTTACTTACTTAGGGTTATCTCCGTCTGTATTTTCCCGGGCATGTCCTCTTTTTTGGTCCTTAAATCGCTGTCCAGGAGGAATTTTTAAATACCTTAAAACATCCTGGATTTTGCCTGTTATTTTCCCCAAAGGTTTTCGATCCCAAATTGACCATGATGTAAAATTAGGAATAAAATAGTCATTGATTCTTGGAAGAAAGACAATGTTATTCATTCAAGAGAAAATGGGTGTTGATCATTCAAGAGAAAATGGGTGTTGATCATGAAGGAGAGAGAGTTCATTATTGGTCCTAGACTTGTCTAGTTCACTGCACCGTTCAGGTTTCATCCTGAACCGATACGACTTTTCAAAGCTGCCTCCCCTGGCTTAGCCACTGCCCTAATTTCTGTGTCTTACCTGAGTCCATACTGTGTCCAATTGCATATCTTCAAAATTTCGTTGTTTGATATTTTATTATGTTATCCCTAAACACTATGCTAAAACAAAAGTGTAAATTCACTGCAGAATTATAGACAAATTTCAAGTGTTTTCGAAGTGGTAGAGAACAATGGAAAGCTGAGTACTTGGTATGTACTTTAGTCTATATGGCAAGTAAAGGCATAAATGTTTTACAAACTCATGTGGACTCAAACAAGCACAAGAAAGTAGGTACAGTAGTTCGAGGAAAGAACTCATCAGCAAAATTGACAGAATATTTTGTAAAACCAGGCAGCAAATCATAGGATGCTTTTACTGCTGCTTATACAGTATAACATTAATGCAATGTGAGTTAGTATATGTACTGTATATTGGTACAAATACCCCTGCCCCGCTCCTCTCGGTGGAGTGTTTACCATACAGTACTTTATTTTGTCCCTCATGTTATTTGTCTAACATACTGATACAGGTAGTACTGTAGCTTATACTCATCACATTTAGTGTAAGAACATTAAATATGGCTTTAATGATTCATTTCTTAGAGAAGCATTAAATATTTTTGATACTGTATGTCTGTTTCATAAAATATACTTCTAAAAGGTTAATAAATATATATCAAACAAAGACAGTCAATCATCTGATGGAAATGCACTGACAGTTTCCCCTGCCTTCAATACAGCAGATGACAGCATGAGCAGACACCTGTTAACAGATACATAGTACAGTATTTGAAATTACTGTACGGTATTTATATTTAGTATTTTATTGCCTTCCATAAATTATCAAAGGCATGAATACAAAATATGCGAATAAGCAGGGATTACTGTATTCTTTAATGCTGCTCAATATGTAAATCGCTATCACATATGATCAATATATAAGATCGTATGTAAACAGCATATGTATAGTATCTCATGTAAACAGCTAGTAAATGTCCAGATTTAACAGATGTGTATGTGTTTAAGATGTGCAGCATATTACCATTTATAAGTGCATTTTTATTACAGTACTTTTGTTCACCGAAAAAATTCCTGTATGAATGCATCTCCACTTTCTTTTCAATTGAAAATGAATGGTGCTTTCTTTTCTTTTCATTATCCGCAGGGGTATCTGCTGCTTTGTTTTTACATTTTCACAATAAAATAAGCAACCCAAAAGTACAAAATAACACAAATACCAGAATAAGGCGGGTATGTTTGCCAATAAATATTTTTGACAAGCAACCGAGTATCCCGGGCAAATCTTGATGGTCAGATACGTTCGGCTCAACTCGGGTCCGCTGGGTGACCAACATCACCTGTGCCTTCTAGAATTTTCTTCAGTTTTTGGAGTTTTTCCATTTTGGGAACTTAGGATAAAGGATTCTCAACTTGTAGTCCAATATGAATACAGTAATAGCAAATCTTACTACAGTACAGTATATAACATAAAAAAAAGGAATTATATGTATACCCTTGTACCACGAAACTGGTAATTGTGATAACTAAATCGTGACTGCTTAATTAAGAAATCTACCTCCCCCCTTTCTTTTTTATGGTCATTGTCATAATTTCAAAGCCTTTTCAACCATTGTTGTGTATCTCACATTGTTTCAGCTTAAATAATATTCTCTAATATCTGTTGCATAATTGCCTGATATTTGTTCTTGGTACAGTGTGAAAAAAATAGGAAATAATTTTCTGACAGAAACCATGTAATATATTAGGGCAAAAAACAAAAATATTATTTAATTTTATAATACAATTGTATATATTTTTGGCAAACCTCTAGTCGACGGAGACACTCAATCACCCCCAAGTCCAAGGTTGGAACAATCGCTTTCAGCCTGTCTTATGTCTTAGACTTAGTGAGCACTTCACCATAATTAATGGGGGTGTTGCATCCCAATTTGCATCTAGCTTTATTCATTAAATTTTTAAGCTTGCCTATTTCTAAGCCTCTACAATCAGTCCAAAAAAGGCCTCCATTTTTTTTATTGCTTTTTCACAGAATCTCAGCAGTCTGTTGTGAATGCTCATTCCTCTTCTGTCTCTCGGTATAATTTGTGTTGTTCAGTGGGATCAAGTTGCACATTGGGCAACATAACATTTTTAACACAGCATGTTTATTTTTTAAATAAAGATGTCATCAAAATTTTTTTAAAGTTTTCGTGGGCTGTGTTTAGTTGTCATGTCTTTCTTTTTCTCATAAAAACATACTTTCTTAAAATCCTATTTATTTGAATAACAGTATTACGTCCAAAATTAGTAACTGATTCAGCTGCATTTACATTTTTTTTTTTTTTTTGTATATTGGCCAATTTCTTGGTACTTCATGCATTGCATTACATTAAAGGCTATATTATTATATGAGGTTTTGGTGTATAATATTATATTAGCACTATTACCCAAATTTTGTAATGTTTTGCATGAAGTCTACAAAAATTACTCACTAATTTTGTGAAGCCATATATTTTATCTTAAAGTTATAAATAGCATAGATAAGTTAACTATTAATAAGAAAACAATGCTAAGATATGTTGAATGGTGAAAATTACAGAATATGTTGCTCAGCTGTGCAGTCAGATACTGTATAAATGATTTAATATTATTTTACCTTCCTTGTGATGTACTGTATAGTGGTTCTCTTTCTCTAATATATAATTCACTGAATATTTCCAGAATACCCCAATGGCCCTGTGTTGCGTATGATAATCATACTCATGTTGATCATAATATTTATTAGCTGGTTTCATTCTGCATTTTAAATAAATCATAATTCCATTCAAACTTCATTATTAATTTACTTGATTAAATTTATATTTTGCCCTATTTGTGATTCATTTAGCATGTGAATTAGGATATATTAAGATTATAAAAACCAAGAACATTTACTGGAAATTACATAATAGTGATAGGTGACTTTACCTCACTGCAAATATATTTAATTTATTCTCATTACGTCTCACTAATAACCTGGTATTGGCCATAGGTAACTTGGTGTTAGCACCCATCAAGTCTGTGGCTTGCAATTTAGACCAACCCTTGACATTGGCAGCTGTTTCTGATTTAATAATTAGTACTGTGCATCTTTCCTGTCATAAGCCTAGCCTACAGTGTAGGGTCTGGGAGGTGAAGGTTTACCTCTTCAGGCTGATAGGTAAACAAGTCTCAGTTCTACAAGAGTTTGTGCACACTGGCTTTTTCTTGTCCATCATATTACAATTTCCAACACTATGCCTTTCACCCATCAATCTTCCCATTTAAATATAGGTATTTTCTAGTTAGATCTGCTTCAGAACAGAGTTAAGT